CTCGTCTGTACTCAGCATCGTACTCCCCTGACTTGAGCCATGCTTCATACGCGTCCCGGTACCTTCGAGATTGCCCTGGCCGCCACCTTGCAAGCAGGCGCTCCTGCGCTTGGGAGCTGAGAGGTTCGCCCATCTCATCAACAAACTCTTCTGTCATCTCCTCCCGCTTTCGCTGGCGTTGCTCCGGTACAGGTTCAACTTGCCAGGGGTGGTCAAATCGTGGCATCTGCAATAGGGGCCTGCTGGAACAAATGTTGGTCTCTGGACCGCTATCTAGCTGCAAGGCGAGGTTCTCTCGTCTGATGGCTTTGATGTCCCGATTTGCCAACACAACCTTCCATCTGCCAGAACCTTCGATGAATTCTATGATGGTACCCCATAATCCGTTCACGTCCGTCTGGTTCTGTAGACCGTGGATTCGGACGACATCGCCAGGTCTGAAAACGGCCATGGAAATTCACAATTTTGGCAATCAGTCTACATAGCAGTTCCACGTGTTTGGCGCCTTGCCTGTCTACAAATGATAACTGCGCCTGCCTTTCATTCATATTCAAGAATGAAAAGCATCATCTAATGGCTTCTGAGACGAATTTGATATGTGTTTGCTTCGATCTGTTTGACTGAGAGCCTTACTTGGCAAGTCAAGTGGGAGGTGCTGCAAGGCTGCATGTAAAGCACATGTTGCCCGTCTGAGCTCAAACTCTAAAATGCAAAGCAGTACTTGCGTTGGTTGAATTTTGCTAAGGTGCTCCTTCCGGATGGCCTGCTGCATCTTTGGCAGCTCAAGTTCAGCAATAGTGCCTGGACAAAAACATGGACAGAAGTGAAGGCATCGAGATTGATGTACGAGTATGCAAATTTGCGATACGCTCCCGGAACTCTGCTTTACTTTATATTCCGTGGACGCTACCGGCCTCTTAGCTCGGCTTGATCCTTTGCGGTCCAAAAGAGCGGCAGCCTCATGCGGGCGGCACAAGTACCATGGACGAGCCATATCATCCTAGCACCATGTTTCGAAATACCCCTGGCTGCAGTAATAGTAGTAATCAATGATGATAGTAATAAAAGGTCACAATAGCAATTGTATGAATATATCAGTAACAAAAAAGTGATACGGTAATACTACTTCTATTAGTACTACTAGGCCCATCCCGCGCAAACCAAGAGGCCAGGCCTGGGAAGCATCGTCTGCGCAGACTTCCGCAAATCCTTCACAAGGGAGCTCCCTATACAATCCCGTATAACCTACATAGAATCCATATATAATCCCTCAAACAGAGATTTCTGCATGCGAATCATATCAGGTCTAAAGGAGTCCAGCAAAAAAATCATGCCAATGAAAAGCTTTGTTGAATGCCTGGCTGAGGCTCTATCAGGTAGGGGGCGAAGCGCTTAGAAGGGGAGCGGCTCTGCAGCTGCTGAAGGATAAATGCCTCAATATCGTATCAAAGTTGGGCACACGCGCAGCTCTAAAATGGGGTATGTTGAAAATCATGCCCAGGAGCTGACAGCAAAAACTTGTTGGACACAGCCGCCTTTCAGGGTCAATCATTGGAACGAAGGTGCTGGACTGAGCAGCAGAAACCGGAGGAGCCTCTGAAACTCACTGGCAAAGTGTTGAGCTGATGCTTCTGCACGCTGTGCTGGCCATGCTAGGACGTTGCCACGTTCTGCATGTTGCCCCAATCCGACTATTGGTCTTGTTACCCATGGGCTTCATGCGACCTAATCAGATCATCAGAGCTGGCAATTGCCTGGCCTGGGCGGTTTGGTTGTCCTGGAGGTACATAGCTATGGCGTTCATCTCCTCTGTTTCGTCCTTGAGATTGCCTTTGCGGGGCGTGGCACACCGGAGTCTAAGGATGCTTACGAGAGGTTTTTGCGCGCGGGATTGAGGGTCTGCTGGCGTAAGGGTATTCATAAGCTCTGGTGTTGGGTTCAATCCTTTCAAACGCGGCAGCTGGCAGCCGCCCTTGGGCTCTCGGGAAATTAGATACAACATTGCTTTCTTAGTTTTAGCCAAGCAAAGATTTGTATTATGAGTATTGACACCAAAGGCAAGCAACCAAAAAGGTTTTGTCCTGCAAACCATGGTATGACATAGCTTTTCCTCGATTCAGTAGACGTTTGGATGAATACCGGTGTGTTGATTATGTATCGTGTATGGCAGCCTGCCAGAATCCGGAGCTTCTGAAGTTTCCAGGTTGAAAAAATTCAACTCCTAGGCTAGACCATCAACAAACTGGTTGGGCATTCGTCGACATCTGAGACTGATGCGCGGGCTCGCATTCTCCTAAAGCCATGCTCGGGGGACCGATGCCCATAAGCTGCAAAGTCATCCTTTTTGGCCAAGGCTCCTTCGTAGAGCATACACGCTGATGGCACAGAGACCAGCCTTCGATTTGGCACCTATGTGGCTGAAGCTGAATCAATCAAGGATGTCAAAGCCCTTGAGCCTGTACTGCACGAATGCCTGGATATGCGTTGGCCTCACATGCATAACGTGCTCAAGGCACGTGGTGACCATTTACCGTGGTGTTCTCTGCTCTGAGACTGCTAAGCTTAACTGAATCATCTGGGTCCTTACCCGGCCACAAACAAGCTGCAAAGGCTAATTAATCCCAAGAGCGACTTCGAGCCTTACAGAGTGGCATCATGCTCAGCATTGTTTCTGGCCAGTTCCTCAACTTTACGCTGGATTCCGCTGGATGTGTTGTACAAGGTTGGTGGTGCCTGCTAGTGATTACTCAGTCACGCTGATGCATCCAGAGTAAGGTAAGGGATACAGGGACAGGATGTGCTGCTACTTATGCTTTGGGTATATTGTAATGAGATCCCCACATAGCCCACATTCGATCTACTTAACAGGTACTATATCCCTAAGCCCTAAACCCTGAATAGTAATTTCCATTTTCTTTTCCAAGATCCCAAGATTACCCCAATATACCCTATTTCCCCCATATAACCCTTAAGGGGGACTATATCCACATATACCCTACAATCCCTATGTAGCCCTTAAGGGGGACTACAGCCCTACAGCAACCCTTCATCCACGGCGCCAGCTTGGAGGCGGCCAGCAAACCGCGGCCGCGGCCGGGGACCTCGGCCACCGCGAGGCCTTCAACGGAGCCGCCCCGCTCCTGGGGATGGGGGATCTTATTATCATATACCCAAAGCCATATTCCCTATATAACCCAAATATACTATAGTAGCTTCCATTTTCTTTTCCATTATCCATATATTGCCCCAATATAACATATGCCCAAGCCAGATTCTATCTATTTAAGGGGGACAATAATTCTGGTTCATTGAACCCTACATAGGGAGAGCGGCTCAACCGCGCCTCAAGCCATCGGACTAGGTCTGCAATGGTATCTGCAGCCGCCACTGTTTCCAATGCGCCCAGGCTTTGCAGCCTTTGGATGACTTCTGACACGTTAAGCTCACTTCCTGCCAGGATTGTTGCTGGCATTTGCTCGCCGTATAGACGACGCGCGGCCGCCGCAAACGTGCTGCTGCCGGTGATGACTACTTAAACGCACCAGTGTTTTCTCATCTACGAGTACCAATTCATGCATGGGTGGTCTTCACTGCTTTCCTCTCTCTACCGTCATTTTCGATCTGCAATGACTTCTTGCACAGAAGGAGCAGCAACCAGGCTCGCATGCCCCATGGATGGCCAAGACTCCTGGACCGGCCCCCATCGTTCCATCGAATCGAGTAGTGCATCAGCACGTGGAAATGCTGAACAGGCAAAACTGTTCGAAGTACCGAAGTCTCAGGCTAGAACCCTAATCTCCGCGAAGCATCATGAAGCACAGTACTTCAAACGTTGACATGATTTCCTCCAGCGATTGAGCTTTTGCCACCAGGGTTTGATGTTCGAAGCTGAAACGGCAGATACAACGTATTCTGCTTGCATGGCCATGTCCTGATGTTCAGCGTATCCCCAAAGACATAAGAATTGCAAAGCGGATGTTTCCAGATTTTCCAGCAAGGAAGCCCACATTATGACATGTCTTGCTGCCGTCCAAAATAACGCTTCAAGGGCTTGAAGGCGACCTATTTGGGTGTCCCTAGGAAATGCTCAGTTTGGCAGGAGTACAGGCCTGAAAACCCTGGGCTCCCACTGGCCAGAGTTGCAAGGTGCTACAGTAAACGGCCTTGGCAGGAATAATGCCGGAACCTCCAACCCAGCAATACTGTAAAGACGACGGCAACAGATGGCAACAGTCATACCTCAACTTCTGCCCATGCGGCCAAGGCCGAGGGAGGAAGCATGGAATTGAAGTACGAACAATACTTCTGAGACACATCTGCCAAAAAAGGATTGGTTTATTGCATTGAGCCTCGACCTACCAGTATTTGAAAATTGCTCAGCTACTTATGACCAACCAATAGACCAGAATGTGGATCCAGCACACCATGCACACCCCTGCAATGTTTTGCCTGCACGAGTCATGTGCTTGGCGCGCAATTTGGCGCCACAGGCGGCTCCGTAGCCAGCGCGGCAATCGGTGCAACTGCGGGACAATAAATCCCACTTTGCAGCAGCCAGTCGGCGACCTTAGACATCCAACCCTGAAAGCGTTGACCTGTGCCCGTCTACACGCTGGTGATCCTGAATCATTGCCACCGAAATCAAGCTGCTACGGATCCTCCAGGCCTCTGGTCTAATCTATTTCTGAACTCCGCAAAGGAGACCCTCTAGTCTCTTCAATCAAGACGTATGACGGCAGTTCTGCTCAACCCTGCTACACCTTGATCAAAATTGTCACCGAGTGACCTGCGGATGAAGCAGCCGCTCCAGGCCTTTACCTCTTTTGAGGATGGGAAGCTCGCACGCGGAAATTGAAAAGTCACAAGCCGCAGAAACACGTCTTCTGCTTCTGCAGCGCAACTTCAACTTCGGCTGAATAGGGCATAGGCATAGGAGGGCATTGTGGGCCTGTGTTGGGGTCCTGACTGATTGTAGCAGGAACTTCCCCGCCTAACAGCTTCTACAACACCTGGCCGCGGCACTGCGGCCATGACTGCTTACGAGACTGACCAACACAGGGATACAAAGCGCTCATGCCTTGAAAACATCCAGGCCCATTGCCTGTACCCTCCGTGGCAAGTAGAAGATAGTAGAAGGCTCTCCGACCCCTTCCTCTGCCGCCGAGGTGACGGTCCCCTGCCCTCAGGAGCTCCCGGACAAGGGTTGAGCTGACATCGGCCACCTGTGACTTGTGTGACAGACTGGCGTTAAAAGCTTGCAGCGCCGTGGTGCATTTTTGGACGTCCTTTCCAAATCCTTCTGCGAACAGCCAAGCGCATCCCTCTCCGAGTCTCCCTTGTAAGGATCCGAGATGATTGCAGAAGACTGATTCTCCCCTCCTAACCATTCTGCCGAACTCGCAGTTCAACATACATCCTCCTTTTGGAGGCCTCGGGTGTGGATGTCTCAGGGACCAGGATGAAGAAGCCTTCCAGACCAAAGTCAGCTTAGGCGAAGGACTCATTGCCAAATGCTCGGAAAGTTGGTAAAGGCAACGGAGGTAGTCTTTTTAGCAGCTTTTCTTGACATGTTTGCGAATCATGGTGGCAAGTACGCCAGAAATCTCAGGACGACCGGACCTTCTTGTTCTGGGGCTTTGGGGCTTTACATCTTTGCAGCCTTGGTCCAAAGCCACACCATCGCTGCTCGCTCCCTGCACAACCTCGCAAATGGGACACTTTGCGGTCATGGGCCCTGGAGGTTAGAACGTTTAGGAGGTGCTCCTGCGAAACTGCGCGAACACGTTGCTATGGACTGTGCGAAGTTGTAGGATTGACAGCCTTGGGTCTGCCATCGAACGATCACGTGGCAGCTTCTGGGGCTGTTCATCTTTCAGGCAAAGCCTGTCTACACCTTGTCAGACAGCAGGGTCGCCTTGTCTGTGAAGCCGGGACGGCCGATGGTGATGTACCGGTGTTCAGGGCCCGCGCCCTTCCACCTTGGCTGGATTGGAGGAAGCAAATCCTCTGCAGTAAGTCTGGAGAAGTGGTGGGCCAAACTGCTGTCAGCCGCCTTCAATCCTCCCCTTCAGGCAGTGCGAAAAATCACGCATACTAATAGAAGAGATGCTTCCGGTACTTGACGACATCGTCTGCTCCGTTCAATGCAAACCTGTTTCACGGGTTGCCCTGCAGGCAGGCAACTGTAGTGGCTAGTCGGAGGGAAGCTTTGTGCACAACACTGCCTATATAGTAGAATGCAGATAGGCGTTGGTAACACATGCTTGATTGATGCAAGCTGCGATTACTCCAAAAGCCTGAAGCCAAAGCTCTATTAGCTTTGGCTTCCTTCTGCTTCATTGAGCTCTGTGGCTTATGAATTCGGACGCAGCTCTGATTCTAAAACAACTTCGTTAGCATGATGATGCCCCAAAGTCAGCCTGACAAACTGCAGGTGCGGCCATTCAGCTTGCAGGCGCCCAATGACCTCAGCGCGCACAACACGTGAGGAATCCTCAGGAGGATGTGCAAGCTGGAAACCAATAATACCTTCGGAGTGAGAATCCTTCGGACGATGCCTGCGCCACTGTTGTAAGAGCTAGTCCTGTCTGAGGCCTGCCGAGTTGCATGGTGCTCTCTGCCAGGATTGAAGTCCATCCAGGGCACCTCGGCGGAGGCCTGGGCGGGCCAAAATCTCCAAACAAGAATTTGGATTCCTCTCACTGGTCTGGAGTGCACTCTCGTGCTGCAAAGGCTCAAGCCTCACGAGATCTGCCCGGTGTGCATATGACACTGACTTCTCGTGCTTGCTGGCCATTTTTTCGTTAACGTGCTTGTCGCTGTTCCTTGGCAGCTGGGTCAATTTACGTGGAACCTTCCACTTATTGAGTTCAGGAGTCAGCCAACTTTGACTTTACAACGCTTGCAGTCCTATGACCCAGCAGCACCAACAAGCTTTCACACACAAGCAGAACAAGCGACTGCCTAAGCACTGAAGTTTCCGCATCTCTATGTGACAAGAAGCATACACACTGAAACTCCAGCAGAGATGCATAGTAATGAGCGCAGCCATCTACAGTTTAAGGCAATTACTTTCTGTACTATCAAGCCACAATCTTTCCCTGCCTTGCAACAGCAATGCTTGTACGGCATGTGCTGCCGAGCGTCAGCGAGAGCATGCCCAAGACTTCGCTGAATTGCTCCAGATTCGGCTGCTTCTGGAAACCCTCGAGGGATGCACTACGATCGTAGACTCAGGACTTATGACATTTCAGCATGTGTAGACTTGCCCTTGCTTGGTAGTGCGCAGAACCGCCATCGCCATGGAAATGTTGCGCATGTCATATTTCATCATATTTCTGCAGGAGCATTGACTCTGGTACACAAGAGATACATTGACTCGGGGTCCGCGCCTCTGCACCGAGCAGAGCGTTCCGTGCGGTGTCAAACCTCAGCTGGCTTGCTGCTCGTTGCTCAAGTGACCGTAGAACTTGGTCGTTACCAAGCTACGGGCAAAACTCCTGAAGCGAATGCCCATCAAATCCGAACCCTAGGACGGCTCAAGCTTCGACTTTGTGCGGCCGCTTGGATGGTGAGATTGGGAGAGCTTTCTTCTACGCGAGACCCCAAGTGTGGATTCCTGCTGCTATGGTGGCTCTTCCCTTCCCCTGCTCAGAGCTCGCCATGCAATTCAGGAGTCAGTATGCAGTAACCTGAGGCAGTTTGCAACAGGCAAGCGACGCGTTGCAATGCGCCGTGGTAATGGGGCAGCAGGAGCCCGTCATGGTTATCACGGCAACCATTGCATCTTCCTGCGCGGCATATAGTTCTGTGACATCTCTAACCAATGCTCCTGCTTCTTCTCAACGAGTCCGAAGAATCCCAACCCCATAACGATTGAGCAAAATCCAAGTCCTTAGTGCTTGCCCCTTGTACTTTTCTGCAGACTCCGCAAGGCGTCCTCCAGCGCATCGAGAACTTTGGCAAACTTTCTGATGTAGGCAGGCAGTGCTGCATCCATTGCTCATGTGTTTTTTCAGCGTCTATAAGCAGAAATGCATCTTGTCCAGGCATGTGCTGCACACAGCAGAAATGGAGAGGGATCACCGGTGCACGCTCCCGAGTTGGTATGAGTTGATGCTTGGTCGCATGCTGCTCTTGCTTCATGCGGATGCAGGCTTGCAGTAGGTCCAGAAAAAACAACCAGCCCCCAGCTACAAGTTGGTTCGACGGATCTCTTCAGCTCGTCTCAATCTTTCTTGGCTTGATGACTAGACTGACCTCAGGCAGCGCTGCCTGGTGAAATTGAAATTGAGGACAGAAGCTGCGGCATTAAGCTATCTACAATGCAGCAAGAGCTTTGTGCATTTGCAATTTGCCTACACTCAAATGCTTGGAAGGGGCCCTCGTCCAGCAACACTCCCGAGATCAAACCCACTACAGCTCCCCTCGCAGATTGGCGGCACCTTCCCCAGCAAATGCTGTTTTGAGGACGAGATTGGGACAGATCTCTGACCAGCCTGCCAGCTGCTCTCTTGCTGCATCCGAGCTTTGGACTTGGGTCACTGCGTTGGCCCCTTAAGCCCTGTGAAAAACATTGGTATTAAGGGCCCTTATTAAAGCCATTAGGGACAATATCAAAGATTTCAGGGGCCTTCCCAGGTCAAGGACATGCTTGAAACCTGGATCCTGGGAACTGCAAGCTTTATGGCCACCAGCCTTGCAGGCATTGTCGAAGGACATGATGCATGCCTGGACGATGCAAGCAACCAATATCACATCACAGTGCCATCGACACAAATGTCCAGTTTCCGGTCAACAATAGCTATAATAACGAACAACTCTTCTTTTGCAGCTACGCGAGACTATGGCCGAACTGAGCTTATGCACATTGTCTTGCCCCCCCCCCCTCCGCTGATAACTGACAATCGATCAAGTGCTGCTTCAGGGTTGGAGTTCCTGCGCCTGATGCATAATTACGTCCATGCTTGACGCCTGACGTGTTTCCGATTGTTAGTGGCTAAAAACATAGTGTCAGGTTCTGCAAAGTTTAAATACTTAGTGGAAAGTCGGCACCTATGAGAACATCTGATTCGTGAAGTCGCGTGTTCCACCCATTTGCTGCCTAATCTACTCATGGTTGCAACGTCTGTCTGGAGGCAGGCAAATGGCTTGCCACTCCCTGGTCGAGCGGCCTCAACTCTGTGCTTGCGCTTGCCGGGCCAAGAGGAGTCCATGCTATCGGCACTGCTGCCATCGGGTAGGATGGATCAGGAGTCTTTGCCCCCAGGTTCTGCGTGTGAACATATGGAATTGCAAGAGATTCCCCGTGACTAGAGTAAAGACAAACGACAACCGTGGCTTGCACATGTGGTCTTGTCAGGTGACTGGAGCAGAGTTCCAATGGTCCAACGTTGGCAGGGACGGGCTAAGGCTGACAGCGACATAACAAGACGAATGGCAGTTGGCTAGGCATGAGCTGGGTTTGCCCTTGAGGCAACACCATCTGTGCCGGGCTTGCGGATTGAGTTTGCTGACTTGAGAAGACGGCGGCTATGGACGCGCCGTTGCTGAATGCACAGCAAATCCAACCAACAAAGTCGCTCAAACGATGTGCAACATCAGGGGCGTTACCTCAGCAAGAATCGGTTGCGGTTGTGGCAGCAGACATGTTCCAGCTTGATCAGGGCAGTGGCCAACATCTCGATTCTTTTCAACAACAATACAAAGAAGGCTTCAACAGCCTGGTCCAAAGGCGGACAGCGTAACGATAAAAGCCTTCGCTGTGGAACCGCAGTCTGCGCAATCACGTCACGGCAGCGGTTGCCGTGAAGTTTGTAGTGCAAGCGATTGCCAAACAGGTGCTTGGCACAGCAGAGGTATTCCTGCTGATGTCTCCGGCTTCAGCCCGAGTGGTTGTCCATCACCCCTGCGAGAGAAACGTTGCATGAGATGGAGCAAACAGCAGCGGCCTTTTCCTTGTGCCCGCATGGACGTGTGCCGGCAGGGCTTGGCCCGGACCGGAAGGCAATCAAAGCCAGGATGCGATATGCAAATCCCTTAACTTGAGCCGATGAAGCAAATTGTCAGTTGTCGAGCATGTCTATTTTAGTGTACAGATTTAGATCTCGAGGTTTTGTTGAGCACACAGCTGTGTGACGCAACTCCAAGTTGACATTGGAAGCCTGAAACAAGTAATTGATGATGCGGAAGGTTCTAGGGACCGACTTTGTCTGGAATGTCCTCGCGCCTTCGGCGTCTAGCTCTAAAGCAGGGGCGTCAGCGAACAGCCGTTCAGCACCGCATACGTATAACATGTTGGCTTTGAACAACTAACTTCCCCAAGATTCTTCATACTGTGCTCTTGCCAACGTCCACTCCCACCGAATTTTGAGGTTCTGCATGTGGCTTGTGCACACAAGCGGAGACTGAGAGCACCGTGCGCATCTTGAGTGCCCGTAGGTGTGAAGGCATGCGCTGCTGCAATGCCCAACGCACTACACCGACGTCATGGCCTGAGTCCCCGCACCTCAGCGAGGAAGTCTCTGGCATTTCTGTCGTGTTATAAAACTTGTATTATCCTGTTCTTGCTTTGCTTTTCTTGGAGCTCTCATGTGACAAGCTTGTGCAGCCCACAAGAAGTTGGCCAAAAAGCATGTATGAGATCAGGACTGTTCTCAAGCGTCGCCATGCCTGAGGGCACTTGGGGCAAATACATGCGGCGGCCTTCCCCAACAAGGAAATCAAAGCAACGAGAGAGTTGTGATTAGTACGTTGAAGTGACAGTGTACTTGAACCAGTCCCCATTTGTTTACGGTACGAGTAGCTTACGAAACCCAGGGCGTCGGCTTTCTTGACCAACGCTTAACGCGCTTACGGTGGAAATGCGGGAGTCCCGTCACTGTCACCTTCAAAGCACCAACAAACTAAGACCTGCACTTTTAGCTTACGGCGCTTACAGCGCAGCACGCAAAACAATTTTGATGATGGTAGCCTACGAAACCCACACACTTGCGTACTGCAAACTCCTTACAGCCACTCGCTAGTGGTTTTTCCATTAGAGGGTTTTGAAATCTGATCCATTGAGAGTGCATGTCTTTCTGAGTGCACAGCCTGCGTCGTCCTCTGTCGACATGCCTGGCCAAGAATTGCAGGAGTCCCTCGTGGCGTGAATCTCCACGTGCCGCATGACTTCCCTGGAAATGTAAAATTCCAGACTAATCAGGCGAGGTAGGATCCGGAATCAAGTGCGCGCCTATGCTGGCGTCGGAAATATTCTTGCCCTGGTACAGCATGAGGACATGCAACTGGTACCTTGCCACAGCGAGATTTTGTCAGGGCCTACACACCCTCTGGACTTGCAAGCTCAGCTCATGGCGAATTCGTCATCTTGCGCAACTCTGCATTCTCACGTAGGAGGTCATAGCCTCGGGATTCTTAACCAATAAAGATTTGCAAGCAGGCCTTCGGGAAAACATCTTGGACCACAGTGCCGACTAACACAAGCGTGCCAGCTCTGTTTGCGCAGCCGCAGTGTTCACAGCTTGCCAAGTCCAGCTTTGTTCAGCGGGCGCGGCTGTCACCCAGCTTCCGCCTCAGCTTTGAGGCGTTGAGCTCCTCCCGCTGCCGCCGCAGCTCCTCGCGCATGGCTGCTTCTCCCAGGTCCTCCAGCGGGACGTCAAGGCCATTTTGCTGGGACCTGTGGCTGCAGTAGGCTGTGCGGACTCTTTACGACATGAGAGTGGATTTGAAAACCTTGCTGAAAAATCCTTATCCCAAACGTACAGCGCTTGATTCCCCTGCGGCCGCCCCCTTCTAAACTCCTGCAGCATGAGCTACGACGGTTTGGTTTAGCTTCAATATTTGGGGTTCCATCGTCTTGCTGAC